CTGCTGCTACTGCTACTGCTACGACTACGACGACGACGACGACGACTACTACTACTACTACAACTACTACGACGACTACCACTACTGCTATATACAACCACCACCACCACCACCCCAGAAACAGTTACCACTGCGGCGACGACGATACATCCAATTATTAGTATGAGTGGTCTGCTACTAGTTTTCGAGACAGCTGCATCTGCTGCTACCACCAAGCCGACGACGACTTCGAATTGATGGAGCCCGTACCCCGACTTCTGCTTATGTCATGACTGTTCTTGCTGTTGCTCAATCCTCTTTGCCTGCTAAGCAACATCGTTGTTCGAAGCAGATGCCAGGAGTCTTCAGGATGTTCTCTCAGTCTCCGTGCTGAGCACTGACAGCAAGGCTAGCACGTGCTGCCATCTTGATCCTTGTAGGCCGCCTTTGCAGGAAGCTGCTGCCTCCCATATCTTGCAACGGGTCAGAACCACGGTCACTTCATGCCGCTTCAGCGTCCGGCAGTTTGGGGAGTGTCGGGATTGCCCTCATAGCCACAACCCTCTTTTGTCGACAGGGCTTCGCCAAGCCCTTCAAGCCGTCCGATAACGTTCCGGCCCAAGCATCCCTTTCTCCCGACCGGACCCCAAAAGGATCCTGGGCTTCGTCCAAAAGCTTCGGGCTTGGGCAGGTAGTCAGGTCCAAGCGAAGGGATGTCGCTCTGAGGAGGCTCCAGATGATTCTGGCCTGGAATCCGACGCATTGGAGGCGTTGCCAAGGCCGACCGGAAGGGGCCATCGCAGCAAGAAAGTATCGCAGAAGCCCTTTCAGAGTGGCATGCCTTGTGGTGCCGGTAGCTAGCGTAGCATCACGGATGGCAGGAAAGCCGAAAGCCGAGCCCCTCGCTCGTCTCGTTCGTCTCGCTCGGCCCGGAGCCTTGTGTCACCTGCGCAAAATCCTCGAAGACTCTCTTACTCCCACTTGGCTCCTTGACTCGGAGTTTTTGAGGCATCACGGGAGCGCCAGGCAGCAAGTCCAAAACGTCAACCTCCAGAGCAAGCGGGCAGCGAGGCTGAGGCGCGTCTGCAACTTCCGAGAAATAGACCGCCTGCCCGAGATGAGCAATGGGGGATCCGTCAGAGACTCGTCTTGGTCGCAAGGTCTTGGTGAAGCGCGTTCAGGAGAGCCTCGACAGGCGATCCGGCTGAGTGCACCACGATCACAGTATGCCGGGAGAGCAGGAGGTTCCAAGACGATACGCATGACGTTGAGCAGAATACACAATGTCACAAACGACTACAGCATGGTTCATAATACAGGGCCAGGGCATCCCCGCGGCCAGGAAGTTTGGCAGTGTGGATGCCGCGTTCATGAACATGTCGGCAGGGATCCCGGGGCGACATTTCTGGTCAGGGTTGCGCTTTTGCTGCGATCACAGCTGGCAAAACAACACAGCAAAGACCTACCAATTGCTGGAGCCGGATGTCAGCACGTCAGCTGCACCAAGGCACGA